CATAGCCTTGGCAACTCATGACTAGAGCCTAAGGAGATTACTGACACCATAAATAAGAGTGTCGAATTGTTAAGTCAACAAAAGGAGTCACTGTATACTTACTTCTCATGTGGGATCTGTCCTTAATGTGTTGCACAATGTGAAGTAATGCTATAACTAGTACTCAAACAGTATTTTACACTTTGTGTTTCTATGTGGGTGCAAACTGATGAAATCTTTACTTAATATATACTAAATCAATCTTCTGTATATAAAGAGAATTGAAAATGAATCTTGATGTGAATGGAATGGGAGAGGGAGCAAGAGATGGGAGGGGTGCGAGTGGGAGAGAAATTATGGGGGGGGCATTGTAATCCATAAACTGTACTTTGGAAATTTATATTTACTAAATAAAATAAATAAATAAAAAAAAATTCAATTGGGTTGATGGAGATGCCTACTGAATTAACACCATGCGATTCTGGCAATTTAGGTTACAATATATCTGAGATTTCATTTGTAGGTAAATACTCAGATTTTCTTTAATCTTCCTGATAATTCATTTTACCAAATATAATGACACTTCTACCCTGGTAATTTTACTATCAGATATTTTTCATTATTTTTTTTTCTAATTGTGCTCACCTTTACTCTCAAACTTCCCCACCATGTTTTGCATAGCTTTTTTCCTCCTTTTTTTTAAAAGATTCATTTTTATTTATTTGAAAGGCAGAGTTACAGAAAGAGGTAGAGAGGTAGAGGTAGAGAGAGAGAAAGAGAGAGAGAGAGAGAGAGAAAGTAAGAGAGAGAGGTCTTCCATCCATTGGTTCACTTCCCAAATAGCCACAATGACCAGGGCTAGGCCAGGCCAAGGCCAGAAGCGAGGAGCTTCCTCTGGGTCTCCCACGTGGGTGCAAAGGCCCAAGCATGTAGGTCATCCTGTGCTGCTTCCCCAGGGAGCTGGACTGCAAGTGGAGCAGCCAGGACTTCAACCGGCGCCTGTAAGCAATGCTGGCACTGCAGGCCAAGACTTTAACCCACTGTACCACAGCATTGGCACTTCCTTCCATTTTTTAATTCAGCAAAAGCACCTATATGGGATTTGTTTTATTTACAAGAAGATGGAACTACAAATTACACAATTTAATCTGTTCACATTAATTCTATGACTTTTATGCTTGGATTTATTTCTGTCTGCCTTTTTTATCCATCAAGAACTGTGAAGCCTCTGAGATCTTCCCCTAGCTGTAACCTGTTACACATCAGGGATGCTGGTAGAAGACCCATAAATTTATGCTCAGAGATAAAGGGTTTCATTATTAACACCAACAACAGTAGTCAGAGTATCATCATTTGCACCAATTCCCAGGACCCACTTCCCACAGAATATCAGGAAGGCAGTTGGGTGACACCTGCACATACTGGGGGTTACGTTACATGAAATTTCTGAGCTTAAGGAACCCTCTTTTATACGGGGCAGTAGCTCTGCCTGCCATTTTTACTGTCCTTTCTGTAGAAAACATTCTATTTATAACACTAAACAATAAACAAGCCTGCTCCTTGCTCTGAAGAAAGTATGGTCTTTGTCTTCCAAGACAGACTATTTTCATATAACCAATCCTTAAAAATATACTTTGAAAGAGAGGGGCCAAAGCCTTTGCTCAAAAAATAAAATCTGAAAGATCCTGGAGGACATAACATCCAACATTTACTCTTCCATTGTTTCTCTTATGTTTTTCTTTCCTATCTCAATTAACTGAGTGTTCTATGGTCCTTTTTCCCTCTATGTTTGTAATGTTTTAGTTGTTGCTCTTAAAGTATTTAACATGTATAATTCATTAAAATTTAGTTAATATAATTAAAATTTAGTTAATATAATATAGATATATAATATAATGGCTTAGTAGTTTAAAATCTATTTATATCTTTTTTAAAAAAAGACTGATCCATTTATTTTGAAAATCAGGATTACAGAGAGAGCTGCAGAGAGAGAGAGAGAGAGAGAGGTTGTCCATCTGCTGCTTCACTCTCCACATGGCCTCAACAGCCAGCACTTGTCAAGGCGAAAGCTGGGAGCCAGGAACTTCATTCGGACTTCCTACATGGGTAACAGGTGCCCAAACACTTGGACCGTCCCCACTGCTTTCCCTAGACCATTAGCAGGGAGATGAATGGGAAGTGGAATAGCTGGGACATGAACCAGGGCCCATATGGGATACCAACATTGCAGGCAGGCGTTATTTTTCAAATTATGGCTTTATATTTTTCCCATCAAATATACTTTTATTACCCTCAAATTGGTTATTATAATAATTATTTATAATATATACAATTTGTTTATCGTATCTTCCAATCCCTTTCCCCTTTCCCAGCAATTTTTTGGATCCCATGTTTTCCTTTGGGTTGTTTCTTTCTTCAGTTGGTCATGCAAGCAGGGTAGTAACAAGTAAATTTCTTGCATATTTTTATATACATCTACACGTTTCATTATTTTATTCTGCTTTACATGGCATGTTTGCAAGTCTTGGAGTTTTAGAATTTAAATCATTTCTCTCAGAATTTTAAAGACAATTTTCTACAATGTTAGGCCATTGAAGCTATCTGTAGACTTGCCTTAGAATTTACTGACAATCTAGCAATTATTCTTCTCTGGAGACAATTTCCTATTCGTTGTTTTTTTTGTTTGTTTGTTTTTTGTTTTTTGTTTTTGGTTTTTTTTTTTTTTTTTTTTTTTTTTTTTTTTTTTTTTTTTTGACAGGCAGAGTGGACAGTGAGAGAGAGAGTCTTCCTTTTGCTGTTGGTTCATCCTCCAATGGCCGCCACGGCTGGCGCGCTCGGCCGGCGCACCGCACTGATTCGAAGGCAGGAGCCAGGTGCTTCTCCTGGTCTCCCATGGGGTGCAGGCCCCAAACACTTGGGCCATCCTCCACTGCCTTTCCGGGCCACAGCAGAGAGCTGGCCTGGAAGAGAGGCAACCGGGACAGAATCTGGCGCCCCGACCGGGACTAGAACCCGGTGTGCCAGCGCCACTAGGTGAAGGTTAGCTTATTGAGCCGCGGTGCCGGCCACAATTTCCTATTATCACTGGTAGATTTTTAAGGCTGTCTATCATGTAATGACGTATCTCAAAATTTGTCATGTTGTGGATTTGTTTTTACTTAGACTGTCCTGGAGTTATATTGTGTCAATCCTCATTCATTGTATATCATCGATGCAATGAAAATGATTTATTTAAATTTATCTTCCAGGCTACTCATTATTTGTTTATTTGTATTTAAGATTCCATTTATTGGTTGGTACCGTGGCTCACTAGGCTAATCCTCCGCCGGTGGTGCCGGCACACTGGGTTCTAGTCCCGGTCTGGGCGCCAGATTCTGTCCCAGTTGCTCTTCTTCCGGTCCAGCTCTCTGCTGTTGCCCAGGAAGGCAATGGAGGATGGCCAAGTCCTTGGGTCCTGCAATTGCATGGAAGACCGGGAGGAAGCACTTGGCTCCTGGCTTCGGATTGGCACAGCGTGCCAGCTGTAGCAGCTATTTGGGGAGTGAACCAATGGAAGGAAGACCTTTCTAAAAAAAACCAAAAGATTCCATTTATTGCTTCCATTTAATTACAGTTTCAATGTAAGTATTCTGAATGCTTGACTGGCTTTCATGTATAAAACAGTATCTTATTCTTAGAATTTTAACCCCTTATTTTCTTTATTTTAAGCATTTTAAATACAATCTCAAGGACAGAAATTGTGCTTTTCTCCAGAACAAAGAGCAGGCTTGTTTACTGTCCATTGTAATAAAGACAATGTCTTCCTCTAGAACAAAGTTCAGGCAGGCTTACTACCCAGTACAAGAGAACAGGGCTCCCTGAAGTCAACATTCTGCTCCTGTAACACACAGCACACCATATGGCAAGTGTACTTCGTCCTCATCCTGAAACCTGGTAGAAACTGGAATACTAGGATTCCTATATATTTCTGTGCTGAAAGTCGTGCTCTGATCAGCTATTTTGTTCATTAGGAGAAGAGCACATCTGAAACAGGACTTTCTTTTGGGGGTGGAGGAGAATTTATTCTGCACCAAGTTGTGGTAATGTCCTTCTTTGAGTTACTAGGATTTACTTCTGCCACATACATTAGGATATCAACAGATAAAGATTACCAGTAATCTTAAATTTTTAGCTTGGAAATTCCAGGCTAGAAATGCATATTCAAATGTTTGTTTGGATGATTGCATCCAGACCTATGGTAAATTAAAGCCCAAATTTCTATTGTTCATGTCAGATATTTAATTGCCCCTGCCCAAATCCCCAGCAGAAATCAATTTCCTTTCGTCGTTTGGCACCTATGAATAGTTCTCCTGTTCCATTTCTTTAGTGACTGAACAGATCTTTAGCATTCAATCGTTTTTAGTGGCCTCTGTTCCCAATTCTCACCTTATAAAGGCACAACACCTGTCAAAGTAGGGACAGGAAGCATTTCCCCAAACAGAAGCAGCATCAGCTTAAGTATTAATCCTGCTTTTCTGTTTCCCTCTTCAGTTCAGACATTGAGTGAATTAATTTCAAATGACTTTTAAACCTCTGAAAAGAAACAAAACTAACACCTCTATTTTTAATAGTCATATTAAAGAAGGAATTACCTTCTTCACCTTATAATTCCATTAAAACACACAAACTGGTATATATACAAATCTGCTTCATCTTAACCAGTGACTATATTATAGTAAAACAACTAAAAAAACTTATCCTACTATTTCATTCATAATAATAAATTCACTTGACAAAGTAACTACACTCTTATTATGTTGCATGGAGAAAACCATTTGTTAAAATTGCATTCACCCTGTTAGGATCTGTTCTTAAGTCATTAAATTTTTCCCATGAGTCACTCTTAAATTACCTCATTGATTATATAAAGTAGCACCTTTTACAGAAAAGCATCATTTAATAATGTATTATGCCAATATAATACTTGCTTATGGAATTGTTGCTTATACAAATTTTAACATAATAAACATAACGATATTTACCAGTGGTGACTCTGTTGTTTTAGAATCTTCAAAATGTGGCCTCTTATGCAGATTGCTAAATTCCAAGGAATCATTGATATCTTGAGATAATTTCTCTTCAATGGGAGGTTTCCCTAAATCTGTATTATTTGCCAGAGAATCCTTGTTCTCAAGTTTTATGCAGGAATAATCAGATTTTTGATTACTTTCTCCATCTATACTTTTCTCGTTTACATTTCTTTTAAAAGAGTTGCTTTCTGCTACGTTATCAATATCAGAATAAACATCAGAATCCGCCACATTGTCAAAATCTGCATTTGAAGTTCCTGCTGCTGAAAATACACATTTAAAAAAGGTAAATAAATAAATGTAAAAAATAAATTGATTAGACTGAAAACATTTATAAAACCTAAATAAATACATGCAAACAAATAAATTAAACTGTTCACTAACCAAAAGTTCTAGATGAATATTTCTATCAATTAAACACCATTTTTTTCAGCATGTCTTTATTGAGATTTCAGGGTTAAAACACCCTTTTTGCTTACATTCATAAGTTGTAATCATAATTTACTTAAACAGACATTAATGAAACAGAATAATGGATGGAGGCAAAATTTTATTTTGTAAAGAAACCTTGAAATTGAGGCAAATTTTAATTTCATTCGGTGGTTTAATTCCCACAACTAAAATTCATGAAAGCTAAACCACAGAGAAACTGTTTTCCACATTTTCCTCTTTTCTCTTGCGCACCCAGTGACAAAGAGCGCACAAAGGGAAATCTGCCAGATGGCAGTTAGTGGACAGAAAATATGCAGCTGGGATACCTGCCTCTAGAAAGCCATAAAATGAGCAAGATTATCTTAGTCACCAGCTCATTATGTCTGCTTTAAATAAATCACTTGGTTTAGATAATTGGTTTTCAACCTGTCCACACAATGAAATCATCTAAAGGTAACTCTTTAAAATTGTCAGTGCATGGGCATGACCCCAAAGCAATTATATCAGACATGGGAAGTGGGGCTCTGGCAATGGTCTGTTTCTATTTTCCCACACCACATTCTCCTGATGATCATAATGTGCAGATAGGGTGATCAAATCAATAAATGGTCTAGATTTTCTTAAAAAAAATGAAAATTATTTAAGGATTTTTGTAACATATTTGTTTCATTTTTAAAAAATTATGTAATATTATTAGTTAGATTAAATTCAGCTTCATCTTATTATTTCCTCTTCTCTTTCCAAAATAAATATCTATATAAATTTGCTGCATAAAATAGTGTGAGCTTTGACTAAAATAGTTTCCAATGATGCAAATTCTGCTTTACAGATTTACGTGTTGCAATCAAATGTTATATAAACTTGATAATTCCACATTACAGCTAGAACTTTGACTTTCAACTATCGTCACACTTCTCAAATATCACAAATACTCTGAGAAACTAAATAACTTATATGTCAGAGCAATATCTTCATTAGAACATTCTATAAAAGCTATTCAACACAACAAAAATTCCAGAAAAATGCCATAGTTACCCTCTGAAATCAGAAGGGAAATTAAAGATTTGTAGTAGAAAAAGATATAATTTCCTACACTGAAATGTCTCAAACTATCTTCAATAATTTGTTTACAAGATTGCAAAATCCCACTATTAAGAGTCATTGTTGCTGAGAATATTTAAAAAAAACCTTTTAATAATATTTAAAATGTAATAAAGTGGAGGTACAATATAATTTAGTTGGGACCAGCACCATGGCACAGTGGATAAAGCTGCCACCTGCCATGCTGGCATCCCATATTGGCACTAGTTCGGGTCCTTGCTCCTCCACTTCCAATCCAGCTCTCTGCAATGGCCTGGAAAAGCAGTAGGATGGTCCAAGTCCTGGGCCCCTGGAGACCCAGAAGAAGCTCCTGGCTCCTGGCTCCTGGCTTCCAATTAGCACAGCTCCGGCCGATGTGGCGAATTGGGGAGTGAATCATTGGATGGAAGACAACCCCTCTCCCTCTCTGCATCTCCTCTCTCTGTGTAACTCTGGCTTTCAAATAAATAAATAAATCTTAAATAAAAAAACTTCAAAGTCCTGATTGAAAGATACTAAATAACAAAACAAATGGAGTGATATTCCACGCTCATGGATGAGCAGATTCAATATTGTCAAAATGGAAGCTCTTTCCAACTCAATCTATACAATCAAGGAAATCTCAATCAAAATCTCACCTGACTCAGTGGATATGGACAAACTAATTCTGAAGTATATATGGAAAGGCAAATGACTCAGAATAGCCAATGAAATATGAAAGGAAAATAACAAGTAACAAGACTGACACAACTTTCCTCAAGAATTATTATCAATCTACAACAATCAAGACAATGTTTTGTTGACAAAAACAAAAAGATCAAAGAACAAAACCGAGAACCCACACTAGACCCATACAAATATAGTCAACTAATCGCTGACAAAGAAAGGACAATACAATGAAGATGTGCTAAGCTTTCAGATAATTGGTGGTATAAAAATTCGATATCCACACCTACTCCAGGATTGACCACATACTAGGCCATAAAGCAAGTCTCAGCAAATTCAAAAGAATTAGAATCATACCATGCAGCTTCTCAGACCACAGGGGAATAAAGTTGGAAATTAGCAACTCAGAAATCCCTAGAGCATATGCAAACACATGGAGACTGAACCACATGCTGCTGAATGAACACTGAATCATAGAAGAAATCAAAAGAGAAATCAAAAACTTTCTGGGCGTAAATGAGAATAACAGTACAACATATCAAAACTTATGGTATACAACAAAAGCAATGTTAAAAGGAAAGTTTATAGCAATAGGTACCTACATCAAGAAATTGGAAAGGCACCAAATAGATGAGCTTTCAATGCATCTCAAGGATCTAGAAAACCTACAGCAAACCAGACCCAAATCTAGTAGGAGAAGAGAAATAATTAAAATCAGAGAAGAAATCAACAGGATTGAATCCAAAAAAAAAAAAATCAGCCAAATGAGGAGCTGTTTTTTTGAAAAAATAAACAAAATTGACACCCCATTGGCCCAACTAACTAAAAAAAACAAGAGAAAAGACCCAAATCAATAAAATCAGAGATGAAAAAGGAAACGTAAAAACAGACCCCACAGAAATAAGAAGAATCATCAGAAATTACTACAAGGACTTGTATGCCAGCAAACAGGGAAATCTATCAGAAATGGATAGATCCTGGACACATGCAACCTACCTAAATTAAACCAGGAAGATATAGAAAACCTAAACAGACCCATAACTGAGACAGAAATAAAGGCCCTCCCAACAAAGAAAAGCCCAGGACCAGATGGATTCACTGCTGAATTCTACCAGACATTTAAAGAACTAACTCCAATTCTTCTCAAACAATTCAGAATAATCAAAAAAGAGGAAATCCTCCCAAATTCTTTCTATGAAGCCAGCATCACCTTAATTCCTAAGCCAGAAAAAGGTGCAGCACTGAAAGAGAATTACAGACCAGTACCCCTAATGAACATAGATGCAAAAATCCTCAATAAAATTCTGGCCAATAGAATGCAACAAAACATCAGAAAGATCATCCACCCATACCAGTGGGATTTATCCCTGGTATGCAGGGATGGTTCAATGTTCACAAATTAATCAATGTGATACACCACATTACCAAACTGCAGAAGAAAAACCATATGATTATCTCAATAGATGCAGAGAAAGCATTTGATAAAATACAACACCCTTTCATGATGAAAACTCTAAGCAAATTGGGTATAGAAGGAACATTCCTCAATAAAATCAAAGCAATTTATGAAAAACCCACAGCCAGCATCCTATTCAATGGGGAAAAGTTGGAAGCATTTCCACTGAGATCTGGTACCAGGCACGAATGCCCACTCTCACCACTGCTATTCAATACATTCTGGAAGTTTTAGCCAGAACTATTAGGCAAGAAAAATAAATTAAAGGGATACAAGTTGGGAAGGAAGAAGTCAAACTGGCCCTCATTGTAGAAAATATGATTCTTTATTTATGGAATCCAAAGAACCCTACTAAGAGACTATTGGAACTCATAGAAGAGTTTGGCAAGGCCGGTGCCGTGGCTCACTAGGCTAATCCTCCGCCTTGTGGCACCGGCACACCGGGTTCTAGTCCCGGTCGGGGTTCTATCCCGGTTGCCCCTCTTCCAGGCCAGCTATCTGCTGTGGCCAGGGAGTGCAGTACAGGATGGCCCAAATCCTTGGGCCCTGCACCCCATGGGAGACCAGGATAAGTACCTGGCTCCTGCCATCGATTCAGCATGGTGCGCCAGTCGCAGCACATCGGCCGCGGCAGCTTTTGGAAGGTGAACCAACGGCAAAAGGAAGACCTTTCTCTCTGCCTCTCTCTCTCTCACTGTCCATTCTGCCTGTCAAAAAAAATAAAATAAAATAAAATAAAAAAGAAGAGTTTGGCAAAGTAGCAGGATATAAAATCAATGCACAAAAATCAACAGCCTTTGCATACTCAGGCAATACCATGGTTGAGAAAGAACTTCTAAGATCAATCCCATTCACAATAGCTACAAAAACAATCAAATACCTTGGAATAAACTTAACCAAGGATGTTAAAGATCTCTACGATGAGAATTACAAAATCTTAAAGAAAGAAATAGAAGAGGATACCAAAAAATAGAAAAATCTTCCATGCTCATGGAATGGAAGAATCAATATCATAAAAATGTCCATTCTCCCAAAACAATTTATAGATTCAATGTGATACCAATCAAAATACCAAAGACATTCTTCTCAGATCTGGAAAAAATGATGCTGAAATTCATATGGAGACACAGGAGACCTCGAATAGATAAATCAAACTTGTATAACAGAAACAAAACCAGAGACATCACAATACCAGATTTCAGGACATACTACAGGGCAGTCGTTATCAAAACAGCATGGTACTGGTACAGAAACAGATGGATAGACCAATGGAACAGAATAGAAACACCAGAAATCAACCCAAACATCTACAGCCAATTTACATTTTTTCAAGGATCCAAAACCAATCCCTGGAGTAAGGACAGTCTATTCAATAAATGGTACTCTGAAAACTGGATTTCCATGTGCAGAAGCATGAAGCAAGACCCCTTCCTTTCACCTTACACGAAATTCTACTCAACATGGATTAAAGACCTGAATCTACGACCTGACAGCATCAAATTATTAGAGAACACTGGAGAAACCCTGCAAGATATAGGCACAGGCAAGGACTTCTTGGAAAAGACAATGGAAGCACAGGCAGTCAAAGCCAAAATTAACATTTGGGATCGCATCAAATTGAGAAGTTTCTCCATTGCAAAAGAAACAGGAAAGTGAAGAGGCAACCGACAGAATGGGAAAATATATTTGCAAACTATGCAACAGATAAAGGGTTGATAACCAGAAACTACAAAGAGATCAAGAAACTCCACAACAAAACAGGCAACCCACTTAAGAGATGGGCCAAGGACCTCAATAGATATTTTACAAAAGAGGAAATCCAAATGGCCAACAGACACATGAAAAAATGTTCAGGATCACTAGCAATCAAGGAAATGCAAATCAAAAACACAATAAGGTTTCACATCACTCTGGTTAGAATGGCTCACATACAGAAATCTACCAACAACAGATGCTGGCAAGGATGTGGGGAAAAAGGGACACTAACCCACTGTGGGTAGGAATGCAAACTGGTAAATCCACTATGGAACTCAGTCTGGAAATTCCTCAGAAACCTGAATATACCCTACCATACAACCCAGCCATCCCACTCCTTGGAATTTACCCAAAGGAATTTAAATTGGCAAACAAAAAAGCGGTCTGCACCTTAATGTTTATTGCAGCTCAATTCACAATAGCAAAGACCTGGAACCAACCCAAATGCCCATCAACAGTATACTGGATAAAGAAATTATGGGACATGTACTCTTTAGAATACTATACAGCAGTAAAAAAAATGAAATCCGGTCATTTGCAACAAAATGGAGGAATCTGGAACACATCATGCTTAGTGAAATAAACCAGTCCCAGGGGGACAAATATCATATGTTCTCCCTCATTGGTGACAACTAACTGAGCACCAAAAAGGAAACCTGTTGAAGTGAAATGGACACTATGAGAAAGAGTGACTTGATCGGCCCTTTTCCTGACTTGATGTAGAACTTAATACTTTATCCCTTTTAGTATTTTTTGTCCTACTTAATACTATTGGTTTAACTCTGTAATTAATACACAATTATTCTTAGGTGTTTAAATTTAACTGAAAAGTGATCCCTGTTAAATATAAGAGTGGGAATAAGAGAGGGAGGAGATGTACAATTTGGGACATTCTCAATTGGACTTGCCCCAAATGGTGGAGTTAGAAATGTGCCAGGGGATTCCAATTGAAATCCATCAAGGTGGCATGCACCAATGCCATCTCACTAGTCAAAGTGATCAATTTCAGTTCACAATTGATCACAGATAGGTCTAAGAGTCAAAGGGATCACACAAACAAGACTAGTGTCTGCTAATACTAACTGATAGAATAAAAAAGGGAGAGAACGATCGGGATACACAGCAGACTCATAGAATGGCAGATATCCTAAACAACACCTTGGCCTCAGAATCAGCCCTTAAGGCATTCGAATCTGGCTGAAGTGCCCATGAGAGTATTTTAGGCATGGGAAGCCAAGACACTCTGGGACAAAAAAAAAAAAAAAAACAACACTAAATGAAAGATCTCTGGGAGTGAGATCCTAGTAGAAAGAATGGACCATCAAAGAAGGAGGCACCTTTCTCCTAATGGAGAAGAGAACTTACACTTTGACTATGACCTTGTCTAAGTAAGATTGATGTCCACAAACTCAAAAGGCGGCTTCCATAGCCTTGGCAAGAGCCTAGGGAGATTACTGATACCATAAACAAGAGTGTCAATTTGTTAAGTCAACAACAAGAGTCATTGTGCGCTTATGACCCATGTAGCATCTCTGTCCTTAAGGTGTTATACAATGTGAATTAATGATATAACTAGTACTCAAACAGTACTTTACATTTTATGTTTTGTGTGGGTGCAAACTGTTGAAATCTTTACTTAATATATACTAAATTGATCTTCTGTATAAAAAGATAATTGAAAATGAATCTTGATGTGAATGGAATGGGAGAGGGAGCAGGAGTTGTGAGGGTTGTGGGTGGGAGGGAAGTTATGGGGGGAAAGCCATTGTAATCCATAAGCAGTACTTTGGAAATTTATATTTGCTGAATAAATTTTTAAATAAAGAAAAAAAATGGATATCCACAGCAAAATAAAAAATTAATTTAGACACAGTTTATATAAGCTTCAAAAAATTAATTTAAAATATATCACACTAAATGTGAAATGGCAAACATTGAAACCTAGATAACCTTGAAAAAGAGTTTGTAAGTGCAGTATCAATGAAATAATTGATAAGTTGCACTTCAATAAGATTAAAAACTTCTGCATTGCAAAAAGCACTGTTTATGAGGATATAACCTAAAGACTGGAAGAAACACTTGGAAAATATTTATCTGATAAAGGAGTGATATCTGAAATACAAACATACCCATAAACAAAATTCTTAAAATTCAAGAATAAAAAATCAAGCCAATTTAAAAATGGACAGAAAACCTGAACAGATACCTCATCAAAGGATATATACAAACGGTAAAAAAGCATAATAAAAATGTTCCGCATCATATGTTGCTAGACAATTGAAACTAAAACAAAAATGGCATACCACTGCACAATTATTAAAATGGAAAAACTATAAAACAGTGACAACACAAATCCTGGTGAGAATGTGGAGGAGTTGGAACTCTCATTCTTGGAGGAAATGCAAACGGTAGACATCAATGTTGGTAGACACTGTCAATTTCTTAAGAAACTAAACACACTCTTACTTTGATCCAAAAGTCATACTCATTGATATTTACCCAAATGAATTAAAAAGTTGTGTCAAACAGAAGCCCATATGTGGATGTTTTTCACAATTGTCAAAGCTTGCAAGCAACCACAATGTCCTTCAGTTGGTGAATGTGATAAATAACGAGCTATAGTCCATCTATCAAAGAAACCATTAAAAGATATGGTGGAAACTAAGCTGCATAATAAATGAAAGTAAGTAATTTGAAAAGGCCACATACTGTATAACTCCAACTATACGATATTCTGGAAAAAACAAAACTATGGAGATTATATAAAAAAAATAAAAGTTGCAGCCAGGGCTTTGTTGGAGGGAGGAATAAACAGCTGGAGCCCAGAGGATTTTTAGGACAGAAAACCTATTCTTTGTTATTACAAATGGTGGATATATGTCATACATTTATCAAAACAAAACCTATAGAATGGGCAACATCAAGAATAAATTTTAAAAAGCCTGTGGACCTTGGATGATGTGTCAATATAGGCTTACCAACTGCAAAAACCAAATTAGCATTGTGTGGGATGCTGACTGGGGGAAGCTGAGCATGTGTGAGGGCAAATGGTATAGGGTAACTCTTTGCTCTTTCTATTCAATTTTTCTATGAAGCTCAAAGTGCTAGAAAAAAAATCAATATTTTTACAATGTATCATTAAAGTAACATTTACATGGACATTTGTAATCACCATTTACCCAAAGGAAACTAGAACACCACACTCCTGCTCAGTCACACAACACTGGCCTTCCAGACCAGATCTGCAGTCATGGGAAGTCCTAAATCCCTATATGTGTATAGTTGGTATTTGGCCAGAATGATTTAGTGGCTTTATAGTTGAAATTGCAAGTCTGGCAGGATTACCAAAATTCTCCCACTGTTGTCTGCCTCCTGCTGCCAAGTTAGAAGGTATTCACCAGATTTACAATTAATTTTAAATAATGCCCTTTAGACCCCTCGGATTGTTCACACATGGTACAATTATTGAGTCTTTCTTACAATCTTATATCAAATAAAATATTTCAATGGAAAACTGAAAATGATCTACTCATATTTTAGCCTAGGAAAATGAGTTCCAATTTAGGTGACAAGTCAAGGTCACAGAGTGATTTTAAGACAGATAGGTAAACAAAATCTGACTCCTAGGCCAGAATATTTTGTTGTGATTCTCTTTAAATGCTGACCTTACAACATGGAAATAGAAGTAGACATTTTTAGGCAGTGTTCTCATCTATAGATTGCATGGAAATTATTGGTAATAACAAACAGACAAATAAGATGATGTTTTCTCTAGGCTTTGTCTTATATCAAACCACATTAAATATGAACATTGAAGGAAAGATTTAATACAAATGAAGGCAACAGGGTGGCAATCAGACCTTTGTCACTAACAGGCTTTCCACACACTCTTTTAAATGTTAGCCCCACCCAGATTAACTGCTAAAGAGCTGATGGTTTTTTCCTTACAAACACTGACTAAAAAGACTGTATGCTCGAAAAGTATATATTTTCTACCAATTTTTTTTTGAGTACTAAATCTCCTGGCTTTAAAATGACTTATTAGTAAAGGTAAATATTTTATAGATTGTGACATTTATTGGTTTTATTAAGCTGTTAACATCATTGTTAATATTAAATATCAAGAAAAAAGGTACCTTGTAAGTTATCTTTGCAGTATGTAAAGCTGTTTCTCAGACAAAGATGCAAGTTAACTGTTCTTCCCTTGTTTAAAACATGTTGTGGATGGATGTCATGTTCATACAGGAAGCTATTCTGATAATCATGAATTGTACAACTTTCATGTTTAGGGAAATGCAAAAGAATAGAAACACAGAAATGATATTACAATGTCTTATTTTATTGAAACAAATATAGTAAAATCTTAATATAATAGTCATTTATGTTAATTTAAGATTTGTTTTAACCTCACTGCGCATATATCCTAAACCACAAGTATTTAATAGTATTATATATATAAAAGAAATAGGTAATAAGAACAAATCTAGTTAAACTGCAAATTTCAATTGACAGTTCTTTCTTCAAAACATCCAGAAATAAGTTTGATTCCTCAAATTTTCTCTTCTAAAATGTAGATTTATTTCTCAAGCTCACTGAAAATCAATGAAATGAAGGCTTTACCACTATATAAACATATTTTTTCATCAATGATCTATATGATTTTAAAACCAACATGTGGTATTTAGGTTTTGGTTTTAATGATGATTACTGTTTATACGTATAGTTACAATTTAAATAACATTCCTTATAAATTAAATAATCTATTTTAACAAAGCCCAGTATCTATAATAAGCTCTCCAGAATACCACCATTAAACTCACAGATTATGCGTAACCCAAAAGGTTCTCCTGTGCCACTCATGATCTCCACAAGGGAGACCAAAATAATACTCTATGGGCTCTTCCAAACCAAAGCTGTATAACTACTGCCAAACCTTGAGCAGTAACTTTCTCCACTGCCTCTAAAATCTTACATAGGTGTCAAAGCCAGAACATGGTAAGGTATACAAAAGAACAAAGACAGCACAAATGCCATTCCTTCCCTGGGGATACAAATAGGAAAGAGATCTCTCATCAAAACCCTGCTGCTAAAAGCACACTTGCATTAGATATCTTGAGTCCTTGCTACTAGATACCTGAGGCATTTGGGGCCCAGGATGGTCACTTAAGCTCACAGCTGTTGAAAAATGTTTCAGAAGACTAAACCAATCTGAACAAAGAATTGGTAAAAGGATTGCTTAATCAGATATAATATTTGATACTCAAAAGCTTGAAATCCTAAAGCTTCCACAGTGAAGCAATTTAGAGTAAATTTTAACAAGAATAACAGATACAGTTAGCTATTATTTTTCATTTGGAAATGAACTCTATAAATTTTACAGAATTACTAAGTGAATCATTATATTTAACTTTTAAAAATGCTTATCACATATTAAAGTCACACATTTTGATTCTATAAATTTATTATTTGAAGATAGTTGATTTTTTGATGTGTGTTTTTTAATAAGTGTCCAAAGTGAAGTAGTGACAACTTACCTTGGTTGACTGTCTGCATCAGCTAATTCAACTTTGTATGGTACAATGTTTCCTGGTTCTTCAAAATCCTCTTCATATGTCTTATTAAATACATGTGACATAATATCAGTATTTAATAAATCTATTATATATTAAACAAACTAACTTGTGAGTGACATTTAGAGTATTTTCTTCCTACAAATAATGCCATGAGTGCTCCATTTATATTCCATAATACATGTTCTGGGTGAACTATACACGTTCTACTGTTGTTTCTTGAGGGCACTGGATGCATCAGTCACTTCTATCATTACTGTCACACCCAGAACCAACTATAACAACTTATATGTTATTAGGTAACTACTGAGTGTCAAGTAGATGAGTGACTATAAGCTTCTTCGTTTCCTGGCTGGCATGTCTTAGCCCTACTCTGCAGCATTTGATGAATTTGTTCTACAATTTGATGAATAGCTCAGGCACTTAAATATACGTGAAGATATTTGTCTAGTTTCTCCAGCCTAACCAGAGAAGAACTAAAAATGTTGCCAGGCAAACAAAACAAATCAGAAGCTATCTATCCATCGACCTAAAGAATAAAACACTATTTAAAAGAGCACTTTGTCCATTCAAGTAGTTTTCTGCAACAATCACAGCAGAAAGAAAAGTTTAGAACAAAAGATACATTCAGCTACCATGAGATGAGTAGAAAGTCAGAAATGTGCTGGGTTTGGTCACACCACAAGCCTTCAGCCAGGAGCTCTGGCTCTGCCTGGCTCTGGCTCTAGCTGATTCTACTGGTTCTTCTAGGGGTGAGTGTTTAAAATAGTATTCTACTAAACCTCTAAAGTCTGAAATGCTATTTATTCCTTTAAAAGGAAATACTGCTTAATGGAATTCAAGAAACTAAATTTGCACATAAATTTTGTTTAATACCATACAATAAGATTCACCTTGCTTAAAAATTAAGAGAACATGAAGAACTAAATGAACCAAATAACAAAATACATTTCTGAAAGTTAAATATTGTTTTATTCTTGCAAGCATGTTTAAATTTAAGCAGTTATTAAGGTGAGCAGATGTTTGACCAGTGGTTAACACACTAATTAAAATGTCTATAAGTCCCATACTGGAGTGCCTGGATTCAATGCACAGCTCTGGCTACTGTTTCCAGCTACCAGCTAATGTAGAACGTGGGAAGCAGGAGGATGGCTGAAGAACTGGCCACCCACTTGTGAGACATGGATTAACAACCTAAACCCAGCTTTTATGGGCATTCGGGGAGTAGTAAATAAGTAGACAGGAATTCTTGTTCTCTGTTTCTATCTCTCTTTGTCTCTGCCTCTCAAATGAAAGAAATTTTTAAAAATTAAAAAATAAAAATGTAAACACTTGTAAGTTTCCAATTAAACTATGTTGACTTATAAAACTTTTTATATTCCAATTCAATCCCATCAAGGTGGCATGTGCCAATGCCATCTCACTATTCCAAGTGATCAATTTCAGTTCACAATTGATCATAATGAAAGGACTAAGAGTCAAAGGGAGCACATAAACAAGTCTAGTATCTGCTAACACTAACTGATAGAATAAATAAAGGGGAGAGTGATCCAACATGGGAAGTGAGATACTCAGCAGACTCATAGAATGGCGGATGTCCTAAATAGCACTCTGGCCTCAGAATCAGCCCTAAAGGCATTCCAATCTGGCTGAAAAGCCCATGAGAGTATTTCAGGCATGGAAAGCCAAGACACTCTGGCAAAAAGATCTCTGTGAGTGAGATCCCAGTGGAAAGAACAGGTCTTCAAAGAGGGAGGTGCCTTTCTCTGAAGGGAGGAGAGAACCTCCACTTTGACTATGACCGTGTCTAAACAAGATAAGAGTCGGAGAACTCAAGGGGCTTCCATAGCCTTGGAAACTCATGACTGGTGCATAGGGAGATTACTGATGCCATAAACAGGAGTGTCAATTTGTTAAGTCAACAACAGGAGTCACTGTGCACTTACTCCTCATGTAGGATCTCTGTCCTTAATGTGCTGTACACTGAGGCTTAATGCTATAACGAGTACTCAAACAGTATATTTCACTTTGTGTTTCTATGGGGGTGCAAACGATTGAAATCTTTACTTAATGTATACTAAACTGATCTTCTGTAAAAAAAAAAAAAAAAGAAAAAAGAAATTATCAATTCCCAACTTGACTCTCACTGGGATTAAACATGACAATAGGTCTGATCTGATTTCATCATCATTTTAAAAAAATCATCTATTATTTTTCACTTTATGTTTCTGTGTGGGAGCAAACTGTTGAAATCCTTACTTAAGGTATACTAAGCTGATCTTCTGTATATTAAGATAATCTAAAATGAATCTTGATGTGAATGGAAGGGGAGAGGGAGTGGGAAAGAGGAGGGTTGTGGGTGGGAGGGACGGTATGGGGGGGGGAAGCCATTGTAACCCATGAGTCGTACTTTGGAAATTTATATTCATTAAATAAAAGATAAAAAAAAAAACGTTTTATAGAACATAACAACATAACATGAAATGTACTGTATGTTATAATTTCCTGTTTTTAAAGAAATATGAATAGTAATTTTGCACTTACATCATCCAATTCAACTATCTTTAGAGATGGCTCAGGTCTCTCAATGATTAATTCTTCTACTGGCAGAAAAAGAGCTGGGTTTTGTACTTGTGTCCCTTCAACTAGGAAAATTATAAAATAACATAATCAAGAATGCAACTTACCTGATAATTCTTTTTTCTTTAAATAATGAAACCAGCAATAAACCTCCTAAATATTCATGAAAAGATATAACTACTATCAGTTTCCTCAGCTCAAGTAAAATATACATTGCTTGCAAATTAATTTTTAAATGAAACTATTTTAATTAAGGCAAAGTAAATCTAGAGAAAGAGAATGTGCATGATTTTATCTGGAGATAAAGGGTTACATAATCCAGCTGAGAATAATACATTAAAGAAAACCAAAACTAGATGCTGATTAATGCTTGGTATATACAATTTGAAATAATAAATTTGAAAATATCAAACCCAGGCTTGATTGATCATCACTGTCTTCATCATTTTCCCTCTGAGAACACTGTGCCTCACTAGAATTTTTGCATGGATTTATGAATGTACTCGGCACCATGTTGAAAAGTTGCTCCTGAGGAGTTCTACAAAACAAGAAAGAGGCAATTGAAAGACTGAAATACATCATCTGAAACTTCCTCAGAAAGGACCTTGACTTATTTGTCAAATGAGTGAGTATTCAAAATTAATGATGAACCATACTGGATTTAGCTCATGAAAAAAAAAAAAAAAAAGAATGATTGTATAACAGAATCTTAACATATTTAAAAAATGTATAAAACAAATGGGTATCACAAAAGATTTTTAACTGACAGATCCCACTGTTTTCTGCTTAAGATGAAAGTGAATGTTACGATAGACGGCAGTGTTCACTCAAAAGTTATGTAAAATCCATGAAACATACCTCATTATTTACAAAGCTTATTTATGAGTATGTGTGCATGTGTGTGTGATCTCACAATTTTAGCATCATGTAGGTGAATTCTAAGGGAACTGAGAGCACTTATCTAAACTTCCACCACATCAGTAAGCTGAGAATATTTATCACAATATGAATATGAGGTGTTCTGGCTTAGCACCTATTACTTAATTAGTAATGAAGATTGTTGAAGTCCATCTCAGATGAAAAGCAAGAAAGCCCAGGAATTCTAAGGTCAGAATGTGTATTTGGCTCCAGCGGATACTCATGGATTACTGGGGGAAAGGGTTACTTTTTAGCCAAGAATATAAGTAGCTGTATAGTTCTTCAGGTTTTTGTTTTTGTTTGTTTGTTTGTTTGACAGGCAGAGTGGACAGTGAGAGAGACAGAGAGAAAGGTCTTCCTTTTCCGTTGGTTCATCCCCCAATGGCCGCTGCAACCGGCACACCCCACTGATCCGAAGCCAGGAGCCAGGTGCTTCCTCCTGGTCTCCCATGGGGTGCAGGGCCCAAGCACTTGGGCCGTCCTCCTATGCACTCCTGGGGCACAGAAGAGAGCTGGCCTGGAAGAGGAGCAACCGGGACAGAATCCGGCGCCCCGACCGGGACTAGAACCTGGGGTGCAAGCGCCATGCTGCAAGCAGAGGATTAGCCTATTGAGCCGCGGCTGTATAGTTCTAATGACCATGCATACTCATGAGATCTCCATAGAAAAGTCAGGGGCTTCTAAATGATACAGAATTTAAAATATACCAGGCCCTGTTCTAATTTTGATATATTAAATATGCACTTCTATAAGGAGTCCTCAAAACTTGATGAAAAAATAAAATTGAAACTTGTATAGTTTGGAGCAAAAAAAAATATTGTAATCCATGCCTAACAGGAGTCTTCAAAAAAGACTGAAAATTCAGACTATGAAGAAAAATACATGGATTTCAAAATACTTTTGTGTAAAAATAGCCTTACCTTTGTGTAAAAATAACTTTGTAATTTAATTTCATTTTCCCATGAACTTTTAAAGTACTTACCATCTTAACTTTATATATGATGAAACTGAGACACACAGCATGTTGAAAGCCATTTGGGTAGTAAATTGGAAGAGGAATTTGAAAGCAAGCAGCCTGCTTCTTGAAGCTCATGTTTATAACCACGTTCTTACTTTACACTAGTATTGCCTCTTCTTCAATTTACAAAGTGATTAAAATCTAATAATCTCCTGAAGGCATAGATTAGGCTGTAGCATTTTCCAAATACATATAACATACATATCAGAGGACTACAAAATATTTCTATATTATTTAGCTTTTTAGCCTAACAAATTTGAAGAACATGATACCTTATACCATAATTTATTTAGGTGATGGATAAAAATGTTAAAAAAGCATATGCTCAAAGACAAACTGGCATTGGTCTACCAAAAACCACTTTCCAGTTCGACATAGATCTACCACTCCAATAATTCATCATATACACACATAAAAATACTACTATCCAGAAACTACTTCATAAAGTGAAGACCCCTAATTTTATGGGTAAAGATCCTGAACCAAAAGATTTACAGAATCTCAGTAGGGGAGTATAGGACTTAATTATTCAAATTCAATATTTTTCAAATGAGAAAACAGATACTAAAAGAATTTTAAGTGATTTGCCCATAAACAAAATAAATAGTCAGGGATCTAAGAATTTTCATACAAGTGCTTTTTAAAAGGATCATTTTACAGAGGATAAAATAACTTTCAGAATAGCATTCATCTCACCACATTATATTTATTTTAAAACTTAGCAAGTAGTTATTGAGCATAGATCAATTGGGTAAATACATGATGGACTGTTATAAATTAGTCCTGTAATTCAATTTTATGCTGTTTATTATCAGATGTGGCAAAGGAAGAATTTTTTTTTAATGCTGAGTCTCATATCCACTCTAAAGACACTGATTTTTATTTAAAATTTATTCATTTATTTTGATTTTGTTTGAAATATTGATAGACATTTTCCATCGTATCTGCTGGTTTAGTCTTCAATGGCTCTAACAGCCAAGGCTAAGCCAGACTGAAGCCAGGAGGTCAGAACTCAATTTGGATCTCTCATAATGGTGGCAGGGATCCAAGTTCCTGGCCCATAACTGCTGCCTTGCAGGGCGTGCATTAGCAAGAACCTGGATTGAAAGTGGCGGAGTTTAATAGGAGATACAGATATCGCCAGCAGTGTCTCAAAAGCTGTGCCAAATGCCCACTCTGAGACTGAGTTTTAGATCTGCCTGTGCTCAGGTCCATGAATCAGTAGTGTAAAAACCTTCCACAGACACTTCTAAATACCAGCTATAATTAAGAATTATATGCATTGAAAAGAACGGTGGAGCTTGAGTCAGAATACTAGCTAATTTCTAACATCTATCCTTACAATACTCTAATTTCAAATCTTCTACACTCTTTCATGAAGTTTTCCTATATTGGAGGCATCACTATTTTGATCTATCAACACTTTTATCTTGTTGCAAATGGTGAGATTTCATTCTTTCTTAAAACTGAATAATCTTTCATCGAGTGTGTGTGTATGCACACCATATTTGCTTCATTCATGCACTGATGATAGAAGATTGTTTCCATATCCTACAGGACATTATGCTAAATGAAATAACACAGACACAGAAAGATAAATACCATATGATCTCATTTATCTCTGAAAAAGTTGAGCTTATGGAAGCAAAGAGTAGAATGGTGATTGCCATGGCCTGGGTGTTGGAATAATTAGGGAGCTATTGGTCAAAGAGTATAAAGTTTCAGATAAACAGGATGAATAAGTTTTAAAGATCTAATGTACAGGGCAAGATGGCGGAATAGGAAGGGAGCACACTGATAGTCCGGGGAGAGACAGTTTAATAAAAGTGGAGATACTGCAGGTTCAAGAAAGAGTAGGGGAGGAAACAGCAGAAGAAACTCTTCCAGAATGCATGATTCACACCAGACCTGCGTGGAGAGCTTAGGAGCCCACAGTTCAGGACACCAGCGGCAGAATCAACACACCAGCACTGGAACGCGAGGTGAGCCGAACCTCAATAGCCCGAGACACCGGCAGGCAAGCGGAGAGAGGAGACTAGAGGGAACGACCCCCGGTGGGGGAAAGTTCACCAGGCTAACTGGAAGAGAGAGAGAGAGAGAGAGAGAGAGGGTGACTATACAGACAAGGGTCTCTCATTCTCCGCTCACCTCTCAAGGGCGAGCAAGACAAAGAGCAGGTGCCATCTTGGACATACGTCATAAGCAGAGCGACCTCAGGTCTGCACCGGCCCTGAACCTAGCAGAAAAACCTGACTCTGGGTGGGGCGAATTAACAGGAGATTAGGACCTAGTAAATTTGTGGTGCTACTGAACTGAGACTGTGAAAAAAGAGACGGTGGGGGAGAGAACTCACAGAATTCACGTGAGTACTCTCCAGAGACGCTACAATTCCGTAACTTTGGCAACCCAGTGGGAGACTGAAGGAGAATTTGAGCCCACTCTGAGGGCCGAACAGATTCCCTGTGTGGTCCTTGGGAAAGAGCTTCCGATCTCTGGCTCCTGTGGGTATATCATTTGCCTGCTAACTACCTCCAACTTTGTTCAGCTGTGCAGAATTACTTCCCTTTTGAATCAAAAAAAGAAAGAGAGAGAGAGAGAGAGAGAGAGAGAGAGAGAGATTTACCACGCCTAATCTGGGAGTGTCACCTTTGGCACACCAAACAGAGCTCTCAGGCCACACCCATCTCAAGCCCTAAGGCTCCATCAAAAACAGATAGTCCACTTAATCTAGAGTCATAGTATAACAAGAAAAAGCACCACAGTGAAGAAACCAAATATCTCCAATATGCCAAATAACAAACGCAAAAACCGAGGCAATAAAAACAAGGAAGTCACCATGACGCCCTCAAATGAAAAAGACTCCCCAATTCAAGATTATGAGGATGATGACATAGAAGAAATGCAAGAAGCAGATCTCAAAAAATTGATAAGAACATTAAGAAGTTCTCAAAAACAAATTCTTGAACTACAGAAATCCTTAATGGACAAGATAGAAAATCTCTCTCATGAAAATGAAATATTAAGGAGGAATCAAAATGAAACAAAACAACTAGTACAACAGGAAACTGTGATAGTGACTGAAGTGAAGAATTCAATAGATCAAATGAAAAACACAATAGAGAGCCTTACAAACAGAATGGGTGAAGCAGAAGAGAGAATATCGGACTTAGAAGAAAGAGAACAGGAAAGGATACAGTCAGACCAAAGAAAAGAAGATCAAATTAGAAATCTAAAACATATTGTCAGGAATCTTCAGGATACTATTAAAAAACCCAACATTCGGGTACTAGGAGTTCCTGAAGGCATGGAGAGGGAGAAAGGATTAGAAGGCTTTTTTAGTGAGATATTAGCAGAAAATTTCCCAGGTTGGGAGAAGGGCAGAGAAATCCTAGTACAGGAAGCTCACAGAACCCCTAATAAACACGACCAAAAGAGATCCTCACCACGACACGTTGTAATTAAACTCTCCACAGTGAAACATAAAGAAAAGATCCTAAAACGTGCAAGAGAGAAACGTCAGACTACTCTCAGAGGATCTCCAATCAGACTCACAGCTGACTTCTCATCAGAAACCCTACAAGCTAGGAGGGAATGGCGAGATA